ATCAGGGCTGATATTGTTGGCCAGGTCAGCTGTTGAGCTACGAGATTCCGGGACGAAAATTCATCGTTGAAGACTTTGCTTTTACACTTTCTGCCATCAGGCTGTTATGTGGAAGAATTTATTGTGGCCAAGGTTCCGGCCCGTAGCTTTCACAGACCAAGCCATGGCGAGAAGCTTGAAAAGTGCACACTAGCCTGTCAAAAGTTGGCAAAAATGGTGAAAATTTAGTCAGGGAGAAGGGCACTCCGTTGTGCTTTTCAACACTAAATATAAGGACAGCAGCGTTCATGATACGTAGTCAACTCATTTGAAAAATATCTCTGATAAATATCGGTGTAATGTGGTAGAAGCTGGGGTTTTTTATGGTCAGTGTTCTGCCTGGTGCTTTCACATTTCCACCTGCAATGGTACAAGAAAACGGTCTTCACCAGGGGAATGGACATTTTTACCTAGGCCAGGAGTGGAGGAGCTCCAGGGTATATGACCAGTTGAAAACCATTGGGGTGTGGGCTGTGGGCGATGCGTGGATTATGAGACACTCATCAGTTCCTTGAACGGCACCACAAGTGAGCCTTATCGTTGTGTTAGAAAGCAGTACCTTTCTAGTAATTAAGGATAGGATAACAAGTAGATGTCAACTCCCCCTCCCCCCTCCGAACTACATTTTCGCCGCAAAAATGAAATCTTTCCACTTAACAGCTTAATCACGGAATTATTAGGTGAAAATAGTAGCCGTAATAAAGAGGGGGAGGACTTGGGATCAACTAGGAAGGATTTTGGGAGAAAGGTGCGCAGTTTAATTGCCAGCCTGATCCTACGGATGATCGATAAGTCGCGGAATGTGGTTCCCGTAAGTGTGGATCAGTTTTTGTTCCAACTGTCGCCCAAAGTGCAACCTGTCATCGAAACTTCTCCACCACAATGGAAAGGGCAAACTTTCTCTTTTGTCACGGTCGATATTTATGTGAGAAGAACGTCCACACTTTGTGCCTCGTACAATGAAGAATTTTGTAGAGGGGAGGATATTCGCAAGTTTAACTTCTGTCTAGCCATGTGCGAAACGGAAGCCTCACTAACTCTTTCATTCACTCGCCCCGTATGATGGTTTCGATTTTTACTTACAGCTTTTTTAACTAGCAGCTAGCTTTTTTACACATAAAATTTTTCTATTATGTCATTTGATGAAATGTGCAAGGAATTGCCGTATCGTGAGCTTAAAACAGGGTCATGATGGGATCTTCTGTATGCTA